CATATTGGGGCCCGATGAATGTAAAAACAAAGAATTACCAGATTTTTTTTAACTTTATTTTTGTTTTTAAGAAAAATGAGAGCCACAAATGAGGATATTCATTTAAAATTTTGATAGAACAGTAGCAGTATAATGTCCTCGTAAGTGGATATCAGGCCTTTGTAGAGCAAAATTGAGTATTTTTGTCTAAATAACCCAAAATGTGATGTCCACATATGTGGACGGCAGGTCCTAGGAGGTTAAGGTATTTTTGCCGTTAAGGTTTAGTAATTGGATATAATGCAAAAAGTAGGGCATATTGTACATAATGGTGATCTCCGTCATTTACCTCTTGTCTCCCATTAAGTTTGTTGTATCTATGATGTCAGTAGTATTATATTACAGAGTTAGTATGTAGGTTTTAATCGAGTTCGAGGTTGGTGTCTCTTATGTGATGACAGGCTAAAAAAAACCCCCAAAATAACAAAAACACAAACTCCAGTGATGTAATGGTTAAACAGTCCCACCAAAAGCGAGCTTGTGTTTAATATTAAACAAGGCCGTGCTTAATAATAAACAAAAGGTTTCAGCTTTTCACCCCACGCCAGACAAAGGCGGGAAATGACTGAACGGCTTCGCTTCCACACAGTCACCTGTTGTTGTCATTGTTTCAGTGCAGCAACCTGATATTTCCTCCTGTGGGAGTGTGTGCTCACAGAAACCATGTGTAAAGAAGCGGGGAGATTTAAATGTTTAAACTAAAGCTTTTGGATTAATTCATAGTGACGTGGAGTTGTGTTGTGTCATGATGTAAAATATAAGAACATCAGCTGTTTGCAGACATTATAGCTGCGATCAAACCTTTTACAACTTCGAGGTATGTGGAAAAGAGATTGTTCAGTAACCAGCCTCATACAAGAGGCTCAGACGACACATTTCAGCAAGGAAAAACATCTTTGATGCATTATGTCACCGTGTAAACAAAGCCAGTAATGGTTTGGGGAAATTTCAGAGACGCTGTAAAGTCATCAAGGGTTTGACCTTTAGCCGCTGCCACTGTGACAGTTGTTCTTGCTCCACGCCTTAATGAGATTCTGTTTACACAAATGTTATTTTGTGTAAACAAAGAAAGTGATAAACCTCTATTCTTTTCTCACTTTTCAATAAGGCGTGAAGAGGATTCAGAATACGGAGAAGAAATAGGAAGCATGAGCAAATCAAGAGAGCCTTTGTTATAGTCTTTAAACTGTTAGCAGTCGGACGTACCGCCCACGGGACATTGGATGGTTTAGGGGACTAATAGGACTGCTAAGGGGTTAAAATCAGCGTCATCTTTTATGTTCTGTCAGTGTTTGTGTCGCAACATGAGAGTGTGTTGATGAAGCATTAACATGAATTACCACCTTGCCTGTGCAGCGTTGCTATTCCTGACACACCCACTCTCTGGAGAAGCCCAGACCTGATCAGAGACACGTAAACATTGGAGGAGATCAAAAAACTAGGTCTGATAGCACCTTGTCATGGCAGATTACATTAATGAATGGGTACAGAGGAAGCAAGGGGGGGTGATGGCAGGAAAGCTGGAAAAGTTTGGCTTACTAATACTAATGGATCAACTTCTCCTGTTTAGGTTCTAAACTAAGCAAAATTATAACTAAGCATAATTCAAACCTGATCAGCAAAGTCTAAATAGGACAGGTGTTATTGTAAATGTAGTCTATGGTCCGTAGTAGGCAGAGGTAAAGATAAATAATCAGTAGCTGATGGGCCATACTGTGTTTCCTAGAGCTGGCACATATGAGTTGTGCAAAAGAAAGCAGGCTATGGAAACAGTGAGGAGAAAAGGTTTATTTCCTCCTTAGGCTAACTTGTGTGTAACAACTTGCCACTGCGGAAGAAAGAGGTGGATTTTCACCAGCTTGTTGTGTAACCATTAATCTGCTTATTATACTTATTCATCTTACAGCCTGCAAGGCCAGAACAAGGAATGTTGTGTTGGAGAATGTGTTTTTCTTTGTAAGCAAACTCTGTGTAATGCATTTGTGATAACTGCATGATTGGTATGCACGTTAAAGTAAATGTCGCCACCACAGGAATACTCATGCATTTTATTTTAGCTGCAATCAGACCGCATTATACTCAGAAAAAACAAACATACCCCAAATGCTGTTGTTGATGATATTGCTGATGTTGTTAATTGTATTTTATTGGAATGCAAAATGTAAAAATTACAGTTTTCTTTTATTTGATGGCTTTCAGTATTTTTTACAAGAGTAAGTATAAATAGTTTAACATAGTCTCAAAAGTTGGAATCATCCTTTATCCATTATTATGTTAAAAAAAAAGTCAGGGTTCAGTTTATATAACTGAGGTCCACGATGTTACAATTTAGCTCTCTTTTACTTCTTTCACTTTGGGACTATAAACCTGTGTTCAGAAGGAAGAAACTTGACATCAAACCCTTGTAACTTTCTGGTGTACAGGGATGTGGGGCTAAGCTGTGGCTCACCAGTAAGCTTCTGTTCTTCATTATCATAGTTTTGTCAGAGTGAAAATAAGAAAGTTTCCTTAAATATGACAAATATTGATGCTAATTTTCACACTTATCTTCACAGTTTGCTTCAAATTGAAATTTTCACTCAATTATTGTTTTGCACTATTTCTAATATTGCACACATTCCACCAGCTAACCCTTATTGGACATGAAAGGAGGCTGTTTTCTAAATTCAGTAACCATTTTTAATAGATTACTATGACAATTTCTCATGTAGTAGTTGCCATGTAATAGATGTTGTCTCGAGGTCTACTAGCTGTGGGGATTCCCAGATATTTCCTCCAATGCCATTATGAGTTTAACATGTTGGTATTTAGTTGTACGTCTCATTAAATATGGTATGTATAATCATGAAAGACCACCAGCATGATTTGGACTTATCTAGTCAAATGCACACATCTATAAATGTTGATTGATATTTATTATTTGTTGGTCAATGGAAGCCTCTATTGGCCATAAGAGGGCACCAATCTGTTATTATCTGAGAGTTTCTGTACACAGATGGATAGCACCTGTCTCTCCTTATCTCTTCTGTTACAACAGCTCGGTGTATCCTGAAAAGTTGTGGCACTAAACAGACTTAAGCTTCACAAAATATTTGTGCAAGGTTCTCTGTCCGGAGAATAATGTGAAGCACTGAAAGGAGTTAGCCTGAAATCAACCTTTATGTGACTGAAACTGCAAACAATGGCCGTCCGAATAGACACGAACCGTGTTCCTCAGTTCTGAGTCACCACTGGAGGAGGAGGAGGCCAGGAGGAAGGAGAGGAAAGGCTTTTGTGTGTCTGTGTCTGCACAACAAAGAAAGGAGAAGGCGTATAGACCAATGTGTTTGTGAAGCAGGATGAAGTGGGTGTGTGTTTACATGGATGCGAACGGCGTTTGTTGCATTTGTATATTTCTGCGAGACAGGAGGTAAAGTTTTTTTTCCTTTTACATTAGTTTGAGCAGTTTTAGATTTTGGGGGTCTTTTATTAAATGACAGAGATAGAGGTCTGTTTGTGCTTTATGAGAAATGTAGACTTAGCATGTAAAGTTAAATCCACACCATCAGATATTTCCCACAAAACAAATCCACTGTGCTCTTTTCCATTACCCTTCCTTGTTCTTATTTGGCCTGTTTGTATGTTGTTACGTAAGGTTACCAAGACCAGAAACAAAAACAAACATGCAACACTAATATATGGTCACATTGGCTAAATAAGTTTTCCTCCCTTTAATTTGGAATCTTTCACTCTTTTGCTTATTTTCTTTTCTCTTGCTGTCTTTCCATTATAAATATTTTATTTTGAGTGTAAAAGTGAATATCCACAGGTATTCTGCATGTATTTGTCACATGAAAAACTCCGACACTAAAGCACAGCCACACCTAGTGAGGTGTGTTGTCATATGCCCTGAGGAAATTGTTCTTTTCTCTTCTCAACAAGCTATGCAGTGTTTTGAGCTTCATGAGTCTATGTACTCTTTTCATTCCCCCTTGCCTGATCAGTGCAATCTATCTATCTATCTATCTATCTATCTATCTATCTATCTATCTATCTATCTATCTATCTATCTATCTATCTATCTATCTATCTATCT